ATATGTCAGAACATCAGATGCATCTGATTGGTTATCAGAGAAAAAAAAACTATCAAAGTGCATTTCCTTTCACACAGTTTAGGTCCTGCTCTATGTGAAGTGTATTACCTCCCACTCTCATCTGTTCACTGATCAGTTCTCAACTTAGTCCATGTTCACTCAACCTTTTGACTCTGAAATTGTGATTGTAATATTCTGTGTGGTAGTGTTTCCCAACCTGGGGGTCGGGACACCCACTAGGGGTCACCAAAGCTTCCTGGGGGTTGCGAGGCCTTCTTGATTTTAAGCGGTACAAGAAACAAACGAGTTAAGTTTAGATATTTATTAAAGATGATCTACTTTGAAGACCTGAACACAGACTATATTCACAGAGCATTCACTCTCTGCTAAACAGCCTCGTCCTGCATTCAAAAAGTAAAAAAACACAAAGAGCGAATAGAACAATGAGAAGAAAACACCCAATTTGTCAAAAAAGAAGCCTTTAAAGTATTACATGGTTAAATCGATGTTAAAAAGAATTTAGTTTGCAGAGATGTTCATTTTAAATAGACACAAAATGCTACAATAGAACTACACAGTACGCCTGTGAAATCCCTGTGAAGGTAGTTTTTTTTTACTATTATTATTTCAAAAGTCTGTTGCTCACTGGCTCTGAATACATATACAGACAAACCATGGGTCACAGGAGGGGAGTGACCCATGGATTCAGCATGTGGGAGAAGTATAGATAAACAAAAGCAAGACAAGCTAACAAATGCCATAGCGAAGTAGATAGCTTCGAACTGCAGGTCGATTAGTATTGTGGTAGATAGGATCGCAACGAATAACGGCACGTATGAGCACAAGAATAAGAATGCATGAGTTGTATGAAAAGGAGAGGACTACAAAAGCGACGGCATTACAATGTTCACCAACTGTTGCTCTCACTGGAGATCTGGACATCGCTGTCAGGACCAGACCAGAACTCAGACGCAGACCAGAGTGGAAGTTTCAATAAAGGTGAATTTATTCAAGTAGCATAAACAGAATGTGGATTGAGTGGCTGGAGATTCTGATGAGTCAGAGAGTGGGAATGGGGTCCGGGCTTCAGTGCTCTAGGTCTTGCAGTGCTGGTAGGCAGAACAGGGTCCAGGCTCAGGGCGAGATGGTCTAAGGTGAGACAGGGAAAAAAAGCGAGTTAGCAACAGGTACTTCACAAGAGTGCAAATTCAGGTTGGCTGGCGTGTTCTCATACATATTCAACAATCCGGCGTTGAGTGTTAAGGAGAAACTATGGTGGCAGTGAAACTTGTGAAAGGTGAAAGGTCCTGTCTACAGCCAGTGTTTTTTTTTTAAATATCCTATTCAATTTCTGCCAATGGATCCTCCTAAATGTTACTCACTGGACCTTTAAAAAACATTCCAAATAATGTTCAAAATACTTTGCATGGTCACACAACAAAAACAATAAAGAAATGTCGAAATGCTTCAGACAGTTAATTACAGCAGGTTTACTGTCATATCCTGTCCTCTGTGTACTGCTGCTGTGTGTGAAATTTTCCACCTGGGATAAAAGAAAGTATTTATCTGATATGGTCTCCTTTTCCAAACAAAACAAAATGATAAACATGATGATGCACTGTTCCAACGCAGGGTAACTGCTGATACTGGGTACTGATCCAAATCATTATTAACTTATCATCACTTTATTTTTGTCTAATTTAACATCTGTAAGTCTCTTTGATATCTGGTAGTAATATACTGGTGCCCGTGCTGATTCAGCGGATTGTCTCGATGTATACATACTTATTTGGACTTTTAGTGATATACCCTTATGTGATAATACAATAACCAGTGTAGCATTAAATATAATTTCAACTTTTACTGTGAAAGACAAAATAATGTAGGGGGAAAGAAAAGAAAGCGGAACCAAAGTGCGGGTATCGTTGCACCACAGTGCCCAGATTTCCTTCACCTGGAGGCCTGCAGAGGTGGTTACGAGTATATCCTGGTAGTGGTTGACCACTTTAGCAGATTAGCGCAAGCCTATCCCACCAGGAACAAGGCTGGTAAGACGGTTGCTGACCGGCTTTTCAATGATTTCATCCCCAGATTTGGATACCCGGCCAAACTCCACCATGACCCTGGGAGAGAAAGAGAAGGAGAGTTGGAAGGACCACCTGCCCCATGTACTTCATGCATATAATTGTATGAAGCACGAGGCCACAGGTTTCTCCCCTCACTATTTGTTGTATGGCCGACATCCTCGCCTCCCTGTTGACATCCTCTTCGGCTTCATAACAGATGAGGGAACTGAAACCAGTGGACCAAGAGGATATGCTGAGAAATGGGCAGGAAAAATGGTTGAGGCATACCGAATAGCAGACGCAAACAGCCGACAGTCCAGCTCCAAAGGAAAGACGTACTACGATAAAAGGAGCAGAGGTGTGGTTCTTCAGCCTGGGGACAGGGTCCTTGTATGCAATCTCAGTGAACGAGGGGGCCCTGGAAAGCTTAGACCGTACTGGGAGCAGCTGATCTACATCGTGAGAGAACAGGTTGGAGATAATCCTGTCTACAAAGTAAGCCCTGAGGCGGGAGGCTGACCAGTTCGCACTCTGCACAGGAACCTCCTGTTACAAGTCAACGACCTACCTGTAGAGCCTCTTCAGAACCCGACCACCAGCACAGCTGAGTCACAAAAGAGAAAGAAGAGAGCTTCAGACACCCCGAAACCCACACATGAGACACAGAGCCCAGATGTAAGTGACTCTGAGGAAGAGGAAGGCGTGCCTCGTTGCTGGCTGCAAATACCGATGGAGAAACCAAGAGCTGAAAGTCACTTACCTGAGTCACATGTTACTCCTGACTCCCAAAACAGATCTGAACAGAATGAGACCTACCTGGGAGAAACAATTCACAAAGAACCTGAACAGGATAGAGAGAGTGTTAGAGGTGAGGAACAAGGGACATCCAGTGAGGATGAACATGACATGGAGGAACTGCAGGCTGTCCATCAAGAGAACAATGTCCCCACACCACAAACTGAACATCAGATCTCGCTGAGACAGTCCACCAGAGAAAGACGGCCAGGTTATGTGTTTACTTACCCATCCCTGGGTCAACCAGCTTATCACCCAAGGCCCACTGTGAGTGCAGTTGGAATCCAGCCGGTACAGTGTACTTACCAGTGCCTCTGTACACCATACTTCCACCGCTTCCAACCCCCATCCATCACCCCATACCCTTATCTACCTGTCGTGTACCCAGCTCACTGTGGATGAGACGCCTTGAGAGACAATTACATACATTGCATACTCACCAGATGAGATCTGAAACACGCACTTTATAGGACTTAAAGGATACATTCATTGAGAGTTACAATGTGTTTTGTTGAAAAAAAGAGAAAATGTATGTTCAGAGTGAAATTATTTAGAATATCTTGTGTCAGGAGCCACTTTTATTTGTTGGGGAGTGTGTGATACACCCTTATGTGATAATACAATAACCAGGGCAGCATTAAATATAATTTCAACTTTTATTGTGAAAGACAAAATTAATGTAGGGGGTAAGAAAAGAAAGCGGAACCAAAGTATCATGAGAGGTACCCCCCTCTTCTCTCAGACAGAGATTTGGAGACGAAGATGGCGGTTCGCTCTTTCACTCACTCACTCCGTGATTCTGTTTTCCAGGTTGGTACTCTGTAAAAATTACAAACTGTTTCCTCCTGAAATGTACGGTGGTGTATTGGAGCTGTGATGAGTCTGTTGTGGAATTTTTGATGTTTGAAGCCGAGCTAAAGAGCCGCGTTTATAACCGCGGGAAACGGGCCTTTGTAAACAATGGAGCTAGTGAGCTAACAATTAGCAGCTGTGTACTGTGACTGTATGTGTGATTGTGGGTGCTGGTGTCCTCACTCCCTGGTAATGTTTTATTCAGTTTTTAAGATATCCTGACATGTTATAAATGATTGTTAATGTTAAGAGAAGAGAGGTATGTTGTTTAAAACTTAAAGGGAGTTCTTCCTAAAGTTATACAGAAGCAGTTAGGTGTCTGGTCTGCGTTTAAAAATTTATCATAAGTTGAACAGTTATCCCTATGTGTATGTCATTTAAATATTAATTTACAGCCAAAGAGGGTTTATGAGTCACATTATTACATTAGTATGATGGCGGGTTTCTGGAGTTAAAAACAACTATATAAATATAGATTAAAACCTGATTTATCCATTTGATATTATTGCACTTTAAAGAAAGAGCGATATTTATTTTTGTAAAGACAGGATGATTTCTGTGAATGTGTGTGTGAAAGATGTTGCCAACTGATGTGTGGAGAGTAGAGACAACTGTATTAATGTGTTTAAATTTAAATTAACAAATGAACACTGAAACTGAAACATGTTTACACTAGGGGAATGTTTATTGTTTTATACCATGATTTTGCAAATTTATAATAAAGAGACATTTGGAGACGAAGATGGCGGTTCGCTCTTTCACTCACTCACTCCGTGATTCTGTTTTCCAGGGTTTCCTCTAGGAGAGTTGAGCGCAGTGAACCCCGATAAAAATCATTTGTTACTCCAGTTACATAATTTGAAACTCGTAACATTTTCAATACAGTGTTTTTTGCTTCAATGGATTTCACTCACCATCAATTCACCATTTACTTTTAGGGGTGAAAAAAGAGGGAGACACAGTTAAATTGCATATTCACAACCACTAAAATTTAACAAGGTTTCAGAATTAAAAAACCTGATTCATTAGCATTCCCCCCAGGTTGATGTTCCCTAACCCAAACATTTACGTACCGTTTCCTGCAATGACTGCAACTAAAAGTCTTTTCAAAATAAAAACAAAAACATACCCAATTCATTTTCGGTAAATTAATTAAGAAGTGTTCATTATAGATGTGGAAGTGTTTGTATTAACAAAGGAAGCCGTACACACATGAAATTAATCAAGTTGTTGTTCACAAATTCTTTTGCATTGCATTGATACATATGTTAGGATACATAGGTTTTCAGAGGCAGTTAACAGTCTTAAAACAGTTAAAATCCTTCACGGGTCTTTAAAGATGAATGAAACTAACTTTAATAGATATGGGATACGCAATGCTACAGGATCTCACCAAAAGCGTAACTTAAATGTGGTTATTTTTGCATCATAATGATTAATTTTCTCAGAAATATTATTCATTGTTTGCAAACACTTTGAAAACATATAGAAATATAATGTCAAAGTTACGAACAAAACATCTTTCAGTTTATTTAACTTCTGAGGTGCTACCTCTGCTGTCGCAGTGTATTTTTCCACGTACTATGCAACAAAACATACATAAGCATCCATTACTAAATCCATTATTTATATCATAGATCATATCACAAAAGCCCTGACGTCAGTGTAGATCGTCTCTTCCTTTGCTGTTGCGTTTCGTTTGCCTGCTTTGCCAGCTTTCCTCCTGGTAAAGTTTGGTGTAGAATAAAACAAAGAGTCCTCATTTGTCTGAGGAAATAAATGTACAATTACTGTCTCTATAAACAGGTCAAAATAACTGGAAGTGTTTTTAGCTACATCTTTTAATTCCTTACTTGCTGAATTTGCTGACCATCACTGGCTGTTGCAGCATTTGTTTGCAGAGTGACAGCAGCTGTATTATTAAAAACAACAACAACACCAAAACGATTAATTGGATATCACTTTACCGAAGCTGAATGACACTGTAGGCTGACTTATACACAGCAAAATGTGATTTAAATGACTTTTAACTTTTTGGAAACACAGATTAACAGATCTATGTAGAGTAATGTCTCTTACCGTTACAACAATCACAGGATTTTTTCACAATGGCATAAACAAGGAAGGCTATAACAATCAGACTTATAGCCAGAGCAGCACACACCAGATAGATAATTGTATTTTCTTTCTGTGAATAAACTGAAACATGAGCAAATAATTAAAGTTCAGAAAAGTAATAAATAATTTACATTACGTGACACAATGATAACAATTTCCCCATTACATATAAATATTAAGCACTTACCTTCAGTGTCCAGTTTTGTTCCATTTCCAAATAATATCTCTCCACATGAGGCCACAGCACAGTAATAAGTCCCAGCATCAGAGGAGATGATGTTCTTAGAGAAGTTGTAGACACATTTCTGTGGAGAGTGAGCCTCAGGACTCTTCTCACATTCATCACCACTGTTTCCATGAGTGTAAATTAAACTGGGATGAGATTCATCTGATCCAGCTCTGAACCAGAACACACTGTGATCTCCTGGACATGTTTTCTTCTCAGAGTCAGAGAGGACTGAACACTGCAGAGTCACTGGGTCTCCTGGACGGACTGAATCAGACAGAGGGACTTGAACTACAGCAGTGAAATCAGGTTCTGGTCCTGGGAAACACAAAGACAAAAATAAACATACTTTACTAACTTTAATAAAAATAAAAGGAATTGAAAATGTGAATTTATATACATAAACACTTTCCTGTAAATTATGGAAACATTCCAGTAAGTAACAGTAAGCACTTTCTTTATATATATATATACATGTAGGTCAATCAAACTGTGAACTACTGTTATAAATGGTGTTTGATGTGAGCATGGTGATTACATTTTTCAAGAATGTAAAACGTGTACTTGCTGTATTTTATTTACCTTTAACTCTCAGAAATGTTCCATTCAGAAATATCATGTCAAGGTCTTTTACTTTGACACAGTAGTAAACTCCAGTATCACTTAGCTTTGTTTGACTAATATGCAGGAGAAATGTTCCAGGCTCTTGTTTTGCTGTAATGCGAGGAGTCTTGTTAACACCATCATAATCAAAGGAAAATGTTCCTCCCAAGAATTCAGGCAAATCTCCAGAAATTAACCTGAACCAAAACAAGGTTTCTTGCTCCAGAGCAGATGTCTGGCGGGTACACGTCAAAGTCACATTGTCTCCAACACCAACAGTCTTCGTCTCAAAGATCAGACTGTCTGTGCATCCTGAAAAAAAAAAGGAACACAGTTGTTTAACATCAGAGAAATAATAATTTATAAATTACTGTAATAATATAACAATAATTTAAATATGTATCTGGAGTAAATCTGACATTTCTACATAAACTTACGCCCCACTCTGAGCATCAGCAGTAAAAAGAATATGATCAACATCTTCTGGTAATTGCGCTTGAGAGAGCAGGTATATTAGATCATATTAGAGGATGATTTGCATTAATGTAAGCATATGAAGTGGGAGGGAACAATTTCAGAGCAATCTGATTGGCCTCTTGTTATGATGGCATTTCCCTCACTTTCTTTTTCACAGTGGAAATTATTTCAAAAAAGTTCCAACAACAAGCTTTTGTTACATGTTTTGTTGGGTTTCTATTATTGACACTGAAAGTAAACACAACAGATTTGATTTGATTTTAGTGTGACTGTTCAGCTGATACTCACTAATATGATGAAACTGTTTAACACACACACATATCACCTTAAATGTTTTAATGCTCTACAGTACATCCGTTCTTATGTCCTTTACTGTTGTATTACCATAATTATTGGGATTGTAGCCCGGTTAATAGAATGTTTTTAGTGATTTTTACAGCCTGACTGGGGTAGGTTAGGTAAGGGATTATGCCCGACGAGGTGTCCATTGTCATCCCACTTATACCATGGTCACTTGCCAAAGAAAAACAAAGATCTTTATATTTTCATGCGTTTTGCAAACAAAATCAAGCCAAAATTATGTTTCCCTGGAAACACCTGAGGGTTTGAGTAATACCTGGAAGAATCATTACAATCCTTTAAGGTTCTAATGCAATGGAAACATTGTTCACTATTCCAGTTAACAGGATGAACCATATGTGTTATATAGTTCCCTCCACTCAGAGTGCTTAGGCTAGATTTTCACCCACAATAACGCATGTGTACTGTCGGCTGCAGCCTGAAGTAGTGAGCTGAATAGCGGACAGGATGTAGGAGGTATATACTTTTTATAGAAAGTATCAGTGAGTTCAGAAGGACACTGTGGGGGCTTATGTGTGCCATTCGCCATTGTGGTGTTCAGAAGATGAGCCACTGAAGGACCACAGTCAGTGTAGTGAGATATATATTTATGAGCTATTTAGCTAGCTTGTTTTCATTCAGTTCATTTTGGCGCGTTCATTTAGAACAGAAACAGACATTTTCACTGAAACTACTTTGTCAGATATTAATGGACACCCAGCAGCCAATCAGAATCGAGTATTCACCCAGACCATGGTATAAGCAACTAAAACTACTTGGTTGAGGTTAGAAAAATATTGGAATTGTGACAACTACTTAACTTTGATTAAGCCAGTGCAGATTTAAGTCCAGCCACACAAGTGTTTTCACTCATGTTAAATTAGTACTCTTCTCAGAAGTGTGTGAGCATTTACAAACTGCACTTGACTGACATATCCTCACCCTGGTCTTGGTGTTGTCTCACGTTAGCACACACCTTTATCAAGCTTAATAGCACATCAGGTTCAACAACATCATGCTGTTCCCACCGTAGCTTCACCCTTCTTCCACCTGACTAGAGGTTTATTCAGATGTGTAACTGAAAAGACCTGTGTGGGAGTGCAGGGCCTTTAAAGTCAAGCTGTTCACAATGCTACCTGAATGATTCAATATAGGAGGTCCTACATTGGCCCTAAACATTAGCATTGGATGCACTGCAGAAAAACCCATGTAATTCCTAGAGAGACTGGATTAACAACTCCTTTATGTATTTCTATGTCCAAGCATTTACATTTAAAACCACTGTTACTGTTAAATTAGCACTAAACATAAAATTGTTTTTCTGGTTATCCTATAGTTTTTGGAGTTACACTGACAATGATAGGGGTCAGATTAGTCTTGATGAAAATACTATTATTATTATTATTATTATTATTATATTAAACACTATTATATGCTCTCTCATTACATCACTGCCATCCTTCGATGGAAATCAGATGACCAAAAAGAACAAGGTTTTACAACCATTTTTGTTCACTAAATGAGTTGTTATTTTAGAGGGAGTATTGATTCCATTAACCTTTTAACTATAAATGTACATCTACAACATTTTTGTTACTGCTCAGTTAAACATGCATATAATTGATCTATTTGATTTGTGTGTATTTAAAAAGCTATCTTACATTTGGTGCAAGCCAGCCAGTGTAGATGCTTCATATCGTTGATGATGACCCGCCCACTCTGCCTGTCACCCACGTCAGCAGGAAGAGCACAGCAAACAGAGATGAGGAGGGCTGTTAAACCATCCATCTTCTGTACTTGTTTCACTTCTTTTCAGGGGCTGATGAAAGGCAGTAGAGTAGACTTGGAAGACTGAGAGAGTTTTAAAAAAAAACTCCATTGCAGAAACCAATCCAAAGTTTTAAGGGTGGTGACCCACTTTACAACTGTAAAATGTAATCTAATTAAAACAGAAACCTGTACTTCACTTTATGTCCTGCTTTGTACTTTCACACACACAAACACAAATAAACATGATGCATGGAAACTTTAGCATTGTGGGTTGTGGTTGGGTATCAAACTAGGTGTGAATACAAACCGGCGTGTCTATCTTTCATTTCAATACCCTTTATTGGCATGACATTTGACATGTGTTGCCAAAAGCACAATTATTATAATAACAACATTTAAAAATAAAATCCAGAAAAAGCAATCAGAATACAAATAGTTCAGAAAATAAAATATGTATTTCATCATCTATTTTGTTAATTTCTAACTGTATTCTTTTATTTTTTTCATGTTGTTAATTTCTCACTCTCTATTGTAGCCTCAGGAAGCTGGGCTTGAGTGCTGTTTTTATCCTTTTTTTTTTAAATAACACAGTCATTCACCAGTCCCACTGATTTTTCCTGCAAATGCTACTGTTGTTGCTGTGCACCTCTCTCTGGCTCTCTCTCTCTCTCTCTCTCTCTCGCCCAAACTGGTTGAAGCAGACAACCACCCACCTAGAGCCGAAGGGTCTGTCCTAGGTTTCTGCCTCTTAAAAGGCAGTTTTCTCATGGTGGTACTGTTGGGTCTCTGTAAATAATGTTATAAGGAGTTCGGTCTAGACCTTCTCTTTTTGAAAAGTGTATAACTTCTGTTATGAATTGGTGCTATACAAATAAAATTTAATTGAAATTGAATTAAAATAGGTTTAATAAACTTTTAATATGCTTTCATCTCTGCTGCTGTCAGTTGGCATTTAAGCAACCCTCCCTTAAAATACGATGACAATACAATGGAGTGTAATTGCCAAAGACTACCTCATCTTTTTGGTACAAATGTCAATAAATAATGCTCACTCTTAATGAAGTATCTCCTGATTTAACTAATATGCATCTGTGATATTTTACAATCGCAGATGCATATGGTTGCGGATGTTTTTTCTTGCATGTTTAAAAACATAAGAACAGTTGGAATTAATATATTAACAGGCAAGTGAAGCAAAATAAAACATATACAATTGTTCAACTAAAGTTAGCCTGCTGAAACCTGTTGTAGCCCTTCCCTCTATACACATCCTGTTGTAGTCAGGTTTGTTCTGAGTAAACAGCCTCGACTGTTGGTCAAAGGGCAGAGAAATGGCTCACCGCAGCATAAATCTGACAGTGTAGTTTCATGTGGCTTTGCTTCCTCAATACAGACATGCCGAATGCCTTTAAAATGTGCTGTGAGACCAGAAGTAAGAGTAGTGGTCCCCTCACATTTTTATTCTGTATGTTCTTTTGTTAGCCATGCTTCTGTCTACAGTTGTGGGGACTTGTGGTGGATGTTAGCGCGTTCGTTGATTTGCGAGTAAGGAGAACTCGAAGTCGGAAGTCCGTTTTAGAAAATGTATTTGAGCATTGAAGAATTAAAAGAACATGTACATGGACTCTCTTTGTTCTGAAAACCACAGTTCACTGACTCTGAGAGTGAGTGAGTTGCTGCAGCCAACGTCCCAAAAAGAAGTGCCTAACTTACAGGTATACAGAGTTTCGTATAAGAATGTGCTGCTATCTTATTGGTCTAGAAGTGTCGATGGGGAGGAGCCGTGGTTTAGACTTAGCTCCCCCCTGATTGGCCCATCTCGATGTCCGTCCTCTGCTCCGGTCTCCAATCAGAAGGGGTCAGCAACCTGGGGAGGAAGAACCCTGCTGCCTCTCCTGACTGTTAACTCCCTTCACAATAAGAGCATGCTGTTAGTTATATTACACTCTAGGTGTGCAGATCTTTAACAACAACAACCTATGTGTAACCAAACCACGCCCTTAATGTGCACACAATTATTCTGTGAGTGAGCGCATCATAACACTTATGTTAAGTAGTATAAAAACACTCATTGTTTCTGATATAATACAGCACTTGTATTGCTATTGAAATATTTATCCCTAACATGGACACTACATATAGACTGGTTAAAGAATTGTAACTTGTATCAATTCCGATAATAATGAGTTGATCTGTTCTTAAAAAGCAACTAAAACATTACAACACAGATACCACACAGAGGGCTCTATCTTGCACTCAGCGCAATTGACTTTGTACACTGTAGCTTGTATAATTCCTATTTTGCACTGGACGCACATTGGAATTTTCCCTCCACCGACGCACGTCCTTAAATTAGGGAATGAACTTGCGCCCCGGGGGGGCGGTTCAGCGAAAAGAGGAGGCTTGTTCCGGTGCAAACGTTCCCTGGTGCTATTTTGCTGTTTCAGAAAACAATTCCGCCACAGACCAGGAAAAACCTAGTCTAAAGTCAGTGGCGCTTATTCAGATGCTATTTTAAGGGCGCAGACTTGAGGGGATGCACGTGAGAGGCCGCAGCAACATCGCCACCCGGTCAAGACGGGCATTAATACTTTGCCGCATCCCGGACAGCTCCCGCTCCAGTATGTCAAACCCGGTTTGCTGCAGGAACGGGTGGTCCTCCGGCGTGTAGTGGGTCTGAATCCTCTGCACCTTGGTGTTTGCGCTGCTCCCTCCTCAGCTGGCGCTTGCGCACTGCTCCTGAGGCCAGGGTCTTCTTCCTGCGGAGCTGTGTTACATTGTTTTGATTTATTGTATGGCTGTGTTACATTTATTTCATGTCATTAATGTCACTTCTCGGTCTTTTACAGCCCTGACGAGAACGTCGGTCTCCTCGGCTGTGAACCGCTCTTGGTGTGCGCCTGGCAAATCCGCCGT